ACTCTGCCTCTACACAAACTTCATCACGAATAAATGTTAATATAATTTTATCATCAAAACCATATTATTCCTTTTTTATAATATAATACAATATATTTGCAATATATGTATTTTTATTACCTCAGTCTGCATGAATTGTATTATTATTTAATACTCATTAGCAACTGCACTTTTTTCTACAAAAACCTTGTTGATTTTATTTTTAAATTATGACTATTATCTATTCCAACTAAATCCCTATTAATCTATGTATTTATATTTACAAATTCCAACAAACCTAACGTAAACTTTTGTTTATATCTGTAGATTGTGATCCTGATTTAAAACCTTCGGTTGCGGAAAATCTTGAACATTTGGTAAATCGCCTAGAGAAACTTGTAGAACGTTTGGAACGCTCTATTAGTGCTCGTGAATTGGAAATAGCCAATCGTACATTCGATAGTGTATTGGAAAAGAAACGTGCTAGTTTCGATTTAGAGACAACTGAGTTGCCGCCCGTGCCCGTGGAAAATTTGTCAGTATCTGAACAAACGGTTAAGCTTAATCAGCGTATCGAACGTATTGAGGAGTCTTTGGGTAAAATCAACGAACGTCATAGTCTCAGCAGTCGCAGTGATAGTTTAGTGCATAATCATCATAATCAGCTGCCAAAAGACAATAGTCTTGAAGATATTCCTACCGTATTAGACGATTTTTCATCTTTACCGCCACCACCTCCACCACTAGAACTCAATATGAGTGTTTTGGGTTTTCAAGATATTATGGCTGGTCCTTTGAGCCAATATTTAGCTTTGTCGGCTAAAATTGGCGGTGATGTGGCCAAACATGCTGAATTCGTTAAAAAGGCCTTTGAGTAAGTTTTCATATTTTACATAAAAATGACTTAAATACTAAAAGCAATTTAATTATTTAGTGCCCAACTCCAATATGTGACTTTGGCCACTCAATGCTCTCAGCCCAATCAAAGCAAGCAAATGGAATTGTTGAAACCCACATCGGATCAAATTACCGCCATACAGGACTTCCGTGAAAAGAATCGTGCTTCACAATTTTTCAATCATTTGTCGGCTATAAGTGAAAGTATTCCCGCTTTGGGTTGGGTGTGTGTGGTAAGCATTTGTCTAGCTAAATCTTAGAATTGTATATTAAATGTGTTACATTTTAGTCTCCTACACCTGGTCCCCATGTTAAGGAAATGAATGATGCCGGTCAGTTTTATACCAACCGTGTCTTGAAGGAATGGAAGGAAAAGGACACCACACATGTTGAATGGGCTCGTGCCTGGGTGCAGACCTTGACTGAATTGCAACAATATATCAAGCAATATCATACTACTGGGTTAGTATGGTCTGGCAAGGGTGCTGCTCCTGCCAGCGGTGCTGCACCACCACCACCACCCATGGGTTGTCCTCCTCCACCCCCACCACCAACTTTCGATATGTCCAACATGAATTTGGGCGAGGGACCCGATGATCGTAGTGCTTTGTTTGCTGAAATCAATCAAGGCGAAAACATTACTAAAAGTAGGTTTGATAAATGGTGGCAAAATTAAAACAAATAATTAACATCTTCCTTTCATCCACAGACTTGAAGAAAGTAACCGCTGATATGCAAACTCATAAAAATCCTACCTTACGCACTGGCCCCGCTCCTTTCAAGACACCCACACAATTTGGTTCGTCTAGCAAACCAGCAGTTGCCGCACCTGTAGTTAAAGATCCAGTCTTCACTCGCGATGGCAAGAAATGGCTGATTGAATACCAGAAGAATAACAACAGTCTATTGGTGGAGAATGCTGAAATGAACAATGTGGTCTACATGTTCAAGTGTGAAGGTTCCGTTTTGACCGTTAAGGGCAAAGTTAACAACGTTGTTTTGGACTCCTGCAAGAAATGTTCTTTGGTATTCGACTCTGTGGTGGCCTCAATTGAATTTGTCAATTGCCAATCGGTTCAGATGCAAGTATTGGGTTTTGTACCCACCATTTCCATTGACAAAACCGATGGTTGCCAAATGTATTTGTCTAAGGAATCATTGGGCGTTGAGATTGTCAGCTCCAAATCATCGGAGATGAATATTATGTTGCCCGAAGACAGTGGAGATTATGTAAGTTTAAATGAAAATGTCTTTATGCGAAATTTTTTATTAATTTAAAATATTTTCTCTTATTTAACTTATAGACTGAATTGCCTGTACCCGAACAATTCAAGACCACCATTTCCGGCAAGACTTTGAAAACTGTCTGTGTTGATAGCCTTGGATAAGCTGTTTTAAGCTGCTTCAAACCAGCATATCTTTTTAACTTAAAACAAACAAAAATTCATTAATACACACCCCCCAAATTATGTATGCCAATCAATCAAAACAAACAACATTATTTGCTATTTCTAACTATAATCATCATTAACAACTCAACAACAAAAACATTAAAACAATTGAAAAATTAAACTTTTTGATAAAAAACCTTTTAAAAATGTGTATTCTAAAATAATATAAAGCAAATTTGTTCTACAAAATAAATTACAAGAAAATTATAAAAAAAAAAACAAAATAAAACAGTTGCATTAACAATTGTTTGATATTTATTTGTATTATTAAAATGTTTTGATTAAAAAAATGTTCATTTATTTTATCTTCCTTTATTTATTAAACTTTTTATTTTTTGTATTACTCTCTTGCAACCTTTTATGTATTATTAAATTTTACTTTTTTTGTAACTGCTTATTTTGTACTTTTTTTAAGTTTGCTAAAATAAAAACAAACAAATTCAAAAAGGAAATTTTATTTGAAGGAAAATGATGGTTTATTACTAGAAAATTCTATTCTTCATTCAACAGCAGCAAAAATTTTAATTTTCTCTAAAAGTTCGATTTTTCACTAAAAATCTGAGTTTTACTAAAATGAATATATTTTACTAAAAATTTTTATTTTAACTAAACTGTTGGATGTTTTACTAAAGATCTAGTTTTCACAAAATTCCCAATTTCCACTAAAAATCCTTTGACAAATATTTTCGTAAGATAAGAAAATTTCGCTTAAAATTTGGTTTTTCATCAGAAATTCGATTTTTCGTTAGAAATTCATTTTTTCTCTAAAAAATTGATTTTTCACAAAAAATTGCGAGTTTATTTAAAGATTCTATTTTCCTTTGGAAATCCGATGTTTCACTTCTTTCACTAAAAATCCTGTCAACAGGATATTTTATAGCAAAACAGGCTTTAACAGATGTTTTCTATAGAAAATTTCTGTATAACAGATTTTTGTGTAGAAAAAGTTCAGTTTAGCAGGTTTTTCTTTATAACAAATTGTTTTTAAGAAAAATTTGTGTATCATGATTTCTCTATAAAAATATTCTACTCTAAGGCTAAAATATAATAGGATATTATTTTGATGCCAACTAAAATTTAATTAACCATCCCTGCATATAGTTTTATAACAGTTTTATTTCATATTAAAGAAAAATTTTAAAGTGCATTTTTAATGTTTATTTTTTATTTATTTATAAAATACTATATAATTTAAAACATATGTATATAATCATTTGCTACATACATATGTATGTATGCATATTTTTCTTATCATTTAAAGAATTTTCTTAAAGAACAACAAAACCATTCGTACTAACATACATAATAATTACTGCAACTCCTCTGCTGTCTGTCTGTTGTTTTTCCAATATCTTAAATTTTCTTATATTCGATACGTTCCACTTTGACTTCGTCACCAATCAATTGATAAACATACGTTACAACCGTTGAACTTTGTATGTCCATCAATACAAACGATGGCACAACATTAGTATCCAAGGGATTAAAAGCTCCCGTAGCAGAGCCGGGATTTATATAGAATTTATTGCCATGTTCGTAGGCCTCGAATTTATGAGTGTGTCCTGTTATTAAAATATCCACATCCAATTGACGTTGCACTAAGGCTAATGCTTCGGGGTCACCCCTAGGCACTACCTGGTGACCGTGGCATAGGCCAATACGAAATTGCCCAACAGTTACCACCTTTTGTTCGGGATAAGAGAGATTGTCATCGAAATCACCACGCACAATGTGAACATCATTGGCCAGTGTCTTGAGATAATCATGAGACTCTTTTGTGCACAAATTGCCAGTAACCAAAATATGATGTATACGCCCGGGTACTAGCAGTTTCTTGAATTTAGCTGGCAAACTACTGCAACGGTGGGGTATATGCAAATCACCCAATACTAAGACAAGCATTATGGCGAGGTCTAGGAATGTCTTTTCGATTTGTTGAAATGGATATAAAAACACTTTAAATTATTAGAAACGCCCAATTTTCTAGTTTCTAAAATAAAAATTTATGCAAAAATTGCAATTTCCTCTGACGTTTGGTTTTTTACAGAATGATAAACACTGAGGTATGTTCAGTGTGAGAAAAATTGATTGGTGTTAACCATCCAAAGTGAATGGAGTGTTTACGCCGTCGCTGCTTTTACTTCAAACAAAAAAGTGTTTGCTACAAACATGAGATCAAACAAAATCTGTTGCGTTGGAAATTGGAAATGCATTAGAAAACTATATCTATTCATGATTAAAATTAACATTTTTTAAATGCAAGAAATAAAGGTATAAATTTGTTTGACTGTAATGCAATTTGTTTTTTACATTTGAGAAAAAATAAGTATAAGGTGAAAAGAGATAGAAATATGTATATCTTTATATATTTCTCCCTTTTTTAAATCTTCCGTGGTTCATTACAGGATGCACTTACAAGGTAAAGTCAATTCAACAGCTGATCACTCATTTTTTTATTTAAGGTAGACACAACTGTCAAAGTACACCATTTAGAGTTGACACAATTAATTAATTATTTAATAAGCTATAATTTAAAATTGTATTCTTATTATATTTTCAATTCATATATAATTTTTAATAAATTGTATCTTATAATACATATTTATTTAACGTGGATACATTTTTTTTATACGGCAAATTTAAAAAAAGTACGATGGCAACATGCACATTTTGTTGTTTTTGTATAATTGACTTTACCTTATGAGTGCACCCTGATAGTCTATGATGGATAATAAGCCGGTTGTGGACAGTGAAGGTATTTTTGTTTAAATTTAATTAAAAACAGCATTAAATTAGCAAAATTCTCATTATTATAGATCTTAATAGTGTTAGCTTGTTGGTTATAGTAGTGGATACTAATCCTTCCCAACGTATAGTGCGTCAAAATCCCGAAAATTTGTCACAATGCCTCGACGCCATAGTTGCCTTTGGAAATGCGCACTTAATGCAAAAAGCTCAAAATAAATTGGCGGTAATTTCCTGTCATCATCATGCTACGTAAGTATTTAATAAAATACAAATTACGGAATAGTAAATAAGTTTTTTTATTTTCAAGGGATTTCTTATATCCCATGCCGGTTAAACAATTGGAGGTGCGTCAGGTGGATGGTCAATATGAAGCCTTTAGTTTGGTGGAGAAAACCGTCAAGCAGCGTTTAAGCCATATAATAACAAATGCTCCTAAAATAAGTCAACCCACCGAGAGTCTACTAGCCGGCAGTATGTCCATGGCTTTGTGCTATATATCAAGGGTAAGTAGATTCTTGGAGCAATATTTGTCAAAGTCTTATTTGTTTATTAATCTTAGATCCAACGTAATAGTGCGGCTGGTGTTAAGATACATTCCCGCATTTTAGTGCTAACCGGTAGTAATGAATGCGCTTCTCAGTACATGACCTATATGAATGTCTTCTTTACCGCCCAAAAACTGGGTATTGTTCTTGATGTCTGTGCTCTGGATAAATCTTTAAGTTTACTACAGCAGGGCTGTGATATTACGGGTGGTCAGTATTTACGCCTGACACAGTTGGATGGTTTGTTGCAGTATCTTTTGTGGGTGTTTTTGCCGGATCCTCAAATGAGACAAAAATTAGTATTACCGCCACCCACTAAAGTAGATTATAGAGCAGCCTGTTTCTGTCATCGAGAGTTAATAGATATTGGCTATGTTTGTTCCGTGTGTTTATCGAGTAAGGAGCTTTAAACGCATCTGAGTATAAAATATTCATTAATATTATATTTTTCTTTTTCTTTCAGTTTTCTGCAAGTTCAGTCCAATCTGCACTACTTGTCAGTAAGTATTAACAATTACATTATAGAGTTATAAGTCTAAAAGTTTATGCTTCATTTTCAAAATCTTTAATCATGTTTTCTCATATTTTCTTTAAATTTGTTAAATGTATATATATTTCTATTTTTCCCCACTTTTAGCACTGTTTTCAAAGTACCTGGTCCACTGCCAACCAAACCCAAAAAGAAGAAAAAAGTATAAATCGTTATATTTTTCACAAACTTTAATTTTCATTAAAAATCTAAACTACAGACTTAAAAAATATAATAACTAACAAAAAAAATTATCTTATGCTGCCCTTTCGAATTCATTCATTACGTGTTATTTTACTAAAATACATGGGTCCAAAATTGGCTGGTAAATATGGCAAAACCATTTGTCCATATTTTAAACTTTTGGGATATTCAAATTTATAAATATCACTGAACAAATTAACAATATGGCTCAAATCCTTAATGGTACATGTTAAACCATGTTCATGGAACACCTTTTGTAAAGCCATATGAACAACACCATCATTTTGTACGGGCGATAGAGAGCAAGTGGAATAAACTAAACTTCCTCCTGGTTTCAGCAAACGTAAGCAATTCTCCAAAATACCCGCCTGCAGTTCGGGTATCCTCAATCTTTCCTTAATGCGTGTGGGCTTGAAAATGTTATTGTCATTTTCCATTAGCGAATGACGATCAGTGGTACAGGGTACATCTACCAAGATCTTATCATATGTACCATATTCTTCTATATTACGAGCATCGCATTGATTGAGTAGTAAACGTTTTCCCTCCCATCGTTCTTCATAATCGAATAGATATTCTTTCATAACTTTGCGTATACGATTTACACGCGATTCCATTACATCATTGCACACCAACTGTTCGGGATGTAAAGTTTGTAGCATTAACAACGATTTACCACCAGGAGCAGCACAAGCATCGAGTACACGTTCACCTAATTTAACATCTAAAAGAAGAGGTGGTAATATGGAAGCACCATCCAGTAGATAATGTGAAAGAACACCTGTAAAAGGTAAGTGAGAAATTTATTATTCAATAATTTCCTAAACACACATACATACAACTGCCTATAATTAAATTTTGTTTTCAATAAATGATGCAATTTTTACCATGTATGTATTTTGATATATTTACCTATAAAGTTAACTTACCAGTTAAACATTTATTGGGTCGCCTAAATTCCGCACAATTACCCATTTCATAGGTGTACAAAGATAAATGTTCGGGGAATATAAACTCTGTTTCAGGTTCTATATTTAAAGGAAAATCTGTGGTGGTTTGGTAATATCTATAATGTTCCGATTCTGGTATCCAATCTTCCATGCCTTTTATTTGTGTTGCGGGTACAAATTCATAAAGACCACCCGTATTAACCTCTGGATCTATCATACGTTTTTCATCGATACACACATCATGATTCATACTTATTAAAGGATTATCCTCTTCTTTAGGAGAATTATTTTCATTTGATTCTCCCCTAGCCTTATACTCCAGTTCATCGGGTAATGTATTTTCATTATCTGGATACAAAGACTGTATTTCTTTTTCCTTTTGTTTGCGAGTAATCGAATCCATTTTGTCACCTAATTCATGGGTATTTTTATTTAGACCTAGGGTTTGTGAACCCTCCAAACGTTCTTTGGCCAAGTTTACTAGAGATTTAACATTTATAGCCCCTAAAAGCGATTATATTAATAAAAAAAACCATTGAAAATGATAAAAATTTGTATATACCATCCATTTCCAAACGACTGCAAGTCTTTTCGGTATCACCAAAATTGTTTACCATGGCCATATATTTGTGTTCGGTTAACATTGCGGCTCTCATATTCTTCCAGCGAATACCGAAAACAGAACCATAAAAATCATCAAAACTCTCAAGAGCTCTATCGGTATTTGTCTTTTTCTTTTGTTGAATGGACCATCGCGTTTTGCCACTTTTCCATCGTTGTTGTATGATCCAGATATTGCGTGTTTTTAACATTTTAATTTAAAAATTTAAAGATGTTATGTCAAGTAAAAATATAAAATCGTATTATACCACACGTTCTTCTGCCGGTATTCTTTGTTTTGTTTGAACAGCTGTCTGTGGAATAGTCATATGTTTTTTTCTTTCATTGTAATAGATTTTTAAAATACCCAATTGGAAAATCAGAGGTTCATGCTTTTTATACCCTACCCCACTTTAGTGGGGAGGGTATATTGGATTTGTGCTGATGTTTGTAACATATAAAAATATTCGTCCTAGACCCACCTTAAAGTATACCAATCGGCTTAGAATCGTTTTCTGAGTCGATTAAGCTTTGTCCGTCCGTCCGTCCGTCTGGCTGGCTGGCTGTCCATGTAAACCTTGTGCGCAAGCTACAGGTCGCAATTTTCTAATTGGATGAAATTTGGCACGCACGTTTTATTTGACCCAAGGACGAAGCCTATTGAAAATGGTTAAAATCGGTCCATTATTTCACCTAGCCCCCATAGAACAGAACCCCCCGAAAAGGGCTTCTGAGCTCATAATTATGTTAAATATACAGATATATCGATAAAATACGGCACAACTAAGTTTTATAGAAGTCTTGATAACCCTGCCAAATTTCATAAAGATCGGGCCCCATTTGACCCTAGCTCCCATACAAAGTCCCTTCAGAAAATTACTTGAATGTCCCAAATTAACTTATAAAAACAAATATCGCGATGAAATTCAGCACAATTAAATATTATGTAAATATAAATATATTCACAAAATTTTATCGGGCTTGGTCCATATTTGCCCCTAGCCCCCATATAAAGCCTCTTTCAGAAAATTGGTTTTTCATCCATAAATTGCTTTAATGTATCGGAACAAGGGAATATTGAAGATAAATGCGATATTATGAAAAATAAATCACATTTAATATTCATAACTGGTGTAGGGTATCATATGGTCGGCCACGCCCGACTATACTTTCTTACTTGTTTCATATTTATTCTGTTTTCATCGAATTTTTAAATAAATTTTTTTTATTAAATAATTTATAAACTACATTAAAAATTCTTCGAAATTCACAAAAATTTTGATATTATTTTTAAAAAGTTTATATTAGAAATTGAAAAAGTTAGATAATGTGCTCAAATATAACTAAAATAATATTTTTGATTAGAGATTATTTTAGCATATTATTAAAGATATTTTTGGAACTTAACTTCGAATTTTCGAACATAATTTAAAATTAAATTTAAAGTTAACTGAAAAATAGAAAGAGATTGAACTCGTATTGTAGAATTAAAATGTACTTTAATGAATCCTTATAATGAAATAATTTTAATAGTTTTAAAAACTTTTCGAATATAAGTTTTCTTTAGAGCATTACTTCGAACTTCCAAACATAACAGTACAGTGTTCAGATCTATTCAGAAGTGCTAAATTTCTGCAAATTCGCGTTAAGAAAATTTAAGTTATTTGACCTAAATTAATATAATCATAAACTTAATGACTGAAGAAAATTACAATTCAATAGATTATTTAGATGGAATTTAACATTCCACTTTATCATAATATTCATTAAACTACGAAAGCTTTAAGAAAAAGAAAGGGAAGCAATTATACTTAAGTTTAGTACATAATAAAAAATTTAAAAATCTCGGTATTAAATCTTAAAGAAAGCGTTTGAAGAATGATTAAAGATTCCTAATTCCTTCGATTTTTGCTGTTTGTATGTTTTATACATTAGTCGAACTCATAATCGCTGTCGTATCGTTGTATGTTGTGCAAATTTTGTATTGTTTTTAAAAATTAGTTTGAGTACTACTTATGACATTGAACGATACGACACCGATTGTGAATGGGAAAGTTTTAAAAGCTTTTCTTTCGAACCGATATATAGAGTTACTCATTCCCTGTAAACCTCTAATTAAAGGTTCCACCCAATTAATAAAACCAAAAGTTTTTTTAATTTGTCATTCCTATATATTTTTCTTTTAAATTCTCTCAATATTTATAACATACAATAGAGACATTTGAATTATATATATATATTTGTTGTTGTACATAAAAAATAATAGTATGTTTTGTTGTAATTATCATTAAATGTAATTAAGTATTTTTTAGGTAAGACTACGCTTAATTATTTTTTATCATTCAATAATAAAATTGATAGTGATAATGCAAATGATTTTTTTTTTGTAAGTACAAAGGCGGCGGAGATAGTTTGTATGTGTTATTATAGGTGTATAATAATAATAGGTAGTATTAGGTATATATTTTTCTATATAAATTCAGAGGTAGTTTCTTTTTTGTAACATTTATAAAAGTACACAATGAAAAAAAGAGAATTTAACATACTTTTAATTGTTAAAAACAAGAAAAAGAAGTATAAAAGTAATTTAACGAACTTAAAACTTATACAATTTATACATTTAATTTAAACTTATAATCTTAATTTTTTTTGTTTAAATCCTTCAAAGGATAAAATAGTTGTACATTTTGTTGCTTTACTTGCTCGCTAGACTTAAGAAGCATTAGTAGTTTTATTCATGCCTTTTAAGGGAGTATTTTCATCTTGTTGCGCTTGTTCGGGATCAGATTTTTGGGCCATTTTATTCCAAGGTTGTTCTTCGCCCGAGCCAAAAATGACAAATACCAAGAATTCAATAATGAATAAGACAATGGTTACAAAGAAAATAATACGCCAGGCCCCAATGTTTTGCTAGAATAAGGAAAAAGAAACAAATGAATAAATTCCATTTTTTTGGCGAAATTTAATTTCAAAACTTACATTTCCTTTGGTAATGAAACCAACAAACAAGGGCACAATAATACCGGGTAAGGTAGCTGCGGTATTGGTGATAGCCACCAAAGTACCGGCATAATTAGGAGCAATATCAATGTGATTGGACAAGAAACCAGAGAACATGCCACCCATGGCAATAATGCCAATGGTCATGATAATAACAGCAGCAGTGTGTTTGCAGCCAATGTAGCACAAACTCAATAGACAAATAATGGGAATGATGGTGCAAATAGAAGTGGCAGTTTTACGAGCAATAGTGGTAGTAATTTTTTCTGTAAGATAAAGCATCAAGTTAAATTTATATAAGTATTTAGGGACTTAAGTTATCAAGAAAACTTACGTTTAGCTTTGAGTGTATCGAGAGTTTTACCCAAAATAATACTGAAAATCAACATGGGGAAATAGGGCATAGCACTGGCAACAGCATTGCTAGAGACATTAAAGGCCAACACTTGTTTCATATAGAAGGGAATCTCAATCAAGAACATGTACCAGCCCCAGTTGCTGCAGCAATGAGCAATCAAAATAGCCCAGAAAGGAACCGAAGTCAATACCTTCTTCCATGGTACGGGGGGATGTTCTTCCTTAACGGACGTCTGACCCAATGAAGAGTTAATCATATCTCTTTCCTCCATACTGATAAATCTTTGTTTATTGGGATTATCTGCCACCAACACAGTCCACAACAACATCCATAAACAACTGAGACCACCCATGACATAGAAGACAGATTCCCAACCAAAATTGCCAGACAAGACACCAGCTAACAGTATAGAAATAGCAGTACCGAAAGATGTACCCACATAAATAATGGTGGACATGACAGATCTTTCATTGGGTGGAGACCAGGCAGCAATCATACAATGCATAGCAGGGAAAGTGGCACCACCACCAATACCCTCCAACACACGCATAATAATCAAACCAACATAATGCAATTCAGTCATAACGGGAGTCAAGAGTGTACAAATAACATTAATGGCCACTGAGAATAACATAACCCATTTGGCGGAGAAGTTTTCAGCTACACGAGCCATGGGAATTTGTGATACCAAGTAACCCCAGAAATAGCAACTGAGCAAGGTACCCTGCAATGGTTCACTCCAGATAAAGGGACCATCCTGTAGAAGGGAAAAATACATTTTAAATTAATTATCATTATCATGGTTTTCAAAATAATTTTTGAATCAATATTTGATTGCTAATTATAGTATTTTTAAAAACATACTTAGTATTTGCTTAATAAATTCTAAACACCTGTTATGGAAATATTTTGCACGAAATACGTATCTAATACAATTATATTTAAAGAAAAGTAAACAACCCGTGTCTTTAACAAAAGTATTGTTTTAGAATGGAATTTCCGGCAATTGATATTTTCAAATCTAACGTTTTTGAAATTTGCAATAATACAAATCTATTTACTGTTCATTTAAAATTCAAAATGAATGTTTATCTTTTACTCACCTCAACCTTTGTGGTTTCATTTGTAGCACCACCAGGTGGTTGACAAACTTCATATTCTGGCGAAGCTGCACTAACATTTCCACCATGATCTCCACCATGAGAACCATGGCCAACAGCAGTGTGATTTAACATAGCAACCATAGCAACACTAAGATTTACTTTCAAGCCATAAATAATGGCCATACCTATTGAACCCAAAACGGCCAAAATATAACGTGCTGGTAGACATTCTGTTAAAATGAAATTAAATAGGAAATGGTAAATAAATTATTAATAAAAGACAATATTTAAGGAGGGGTTTGGGGAATTATTATAGGGTTGGGCCATATCCTGCTGTCAAATCTAAACATTTTTGATTTCCTTAACACATACTCACTATAAATAGACATTAACCGCGTAAGAAATTTTGTAACCTGGATTTACTACAAATATTTATTACGTCAGATTGTAAATGAATACATATTTGACTTTCTTTTGATTTTCAAAATATTCAATTTCAAATTGTCAATTTGTTGTGTTGTTTTTGATTTAGACAGTATTGGGTTACCCAATTAAGTATAGTTTCATAATAATTATGGGAGATTTATTTAATATAAAAGGATACAAAAAGTAAATTGTTTTGAAATAAGAAAATTCCTTTCTGTTTCTTAAATTTAGAAAACAATTTTCAATATAACTTTTATTTAGGTTGCAATGTTGGTTTATTTGTTGTTTTAAACCATAATTTATAACCAAATTTGAAATTTTCAAAAATTTAGTTTTGATTTTTAGATCATTCGAACTTTTGTTCAAATAAATTTTTCAATATTCGAATTTATGTTTGAAAAATTTGTATAGCAGTTTCATAAAAATATAATATAAGTTTTATTTGAGTCCAAAAAATTCTTGAATTTTTTAATTTCGAACTTAAAAACGTTTAAAATTATTTTAAAATTTTCTTAAATTTTAAAAGCTTATTTTAAAAGTATTTACTTTAAACTTCAATATTATTAAATCGTTTCAGTAATATAATAAAAACGTAAGTCGACTTCAGATAAATTAACTAAATCAAAATTGTTATCTATTAGCTTGAACTGTTGCAGTGAAAATGTACAGTGTTAGTCATAATTATTTAAACAAATTATAATTTAATTTAAAACTTAATATTTTATGCATAAACTTGCAACAAAAACTTTTCTATTAAAATTCTCAAAACAAAATTTAAAGTTCTTGATTGAAATCCCCCAAAAAATTATAAAATATATGAAATATTTTTAAATTTATTTAAAAAATATATAATGTGGGTCACTGCAACCTTGTCTACAAATCGATGATGTCAACAGTTAAATATAGATTTTGACGATATTTGAATTTAAATAAATCTCATTTTTATTTCACCCTCTATATAATGTTTTGTTGTCATGTCTAGCACTCCTGCTATTATATAACATTCCCAAAAATAATGACATCCGTCAAATTCTTAAGCAGTCAGCAGATACATGGTAACAAATGAAAATATACAATGTTATATTTTTATTTTAACAAATTTGTGTTAGGTCAGTTATCAATCACGACGCTAAACCATGTGCTCTAATATAAAACTAAAGACAATATTTTAACGGTGAATTTATGAAGAGTATTAAAACGTAATTGATTGGCGTGAACAAAAAAAAAATGTGTAGGCATAGTATTTTTATCAGTTCTCGAATAAGAATTTCCTTGAAAATATAAATTTATTTTTGATAAAAATAAAAAAGAGATTTTTATTTGTAAAGTGAATATAGAAAAAGTTTATTAGTTTTAAAGACATTATAATAAATAACAAATATTGTTATTGTAATTGGTAATATTTGTTATATTAATAAGCATAACTAATGCTGTTGGTGATAATATTCAAATAACAAAACTAATAAATAATTTGATGAAATATTGTCAATTAGAAAAACGCGTCTAGATATAATTTTATCTATATAATTAGTGTCGTGTCATATTAAAGTAATAAAATGGTAATATGACATATTTCTATGCAAAATTATACTTTTTAATATGTGCTATATGATTTGCAATTATTATTATTATTATATGACTCTTGCAGTTTTCTAATTTGAATTGTGAAATTGCAATAGATAAATAATGAAGACCTTATTATATATCAGATAAGAAAAGTTTTTTTTTTAGGCTAAATAATAATAGTGTGGTTTTGAAATTGTGCATACAGTGTCATAGGTTTATAAATTATAAAAATATTGTAGATTACAAGACAACTTCTGTTTTCTTTTACTTCTGTTGAGTATATAATTTGTGGTTATGGTATTTGTTTCTTTGATATATAGTAATGGTAAATAATATTCTCATTATTACGTTAGTTTTTAATAAATTTTCTAATAAACAAACTCGGTCAAGAATTATTATGAGACAACTTTTTTCACATTATTTGAAAAAGTATTTTATTAATAAAATAGTTATTAATAACATGTTTTTAAGAGGTTTGGATCGCTTTCGAATGTCAAAATTTTTCCCCTGTTTTCAACAATTTTCGAATATAAGATCGAATTTTCTAAAAAAAAATTAAGAATCCTAGAATGTTTTACGTTATTTTAACAGCTTAAATATCAGCTTTAACATAATTTCGAATTATCGTGTTAAGGGAACTGGTCCCCTTTCTCTTTTCTTGTAAATTGAAGAACTAGAAATTGGCTTTTTGGAGGTATTTTTCATGCTTTTATGGCTATAGTGATATGTATTTGTAACGCACAAAAATATTGATCATATACCCAACTTAAAATATACCAATCGACTTAGAATAATTTTCTGAGTCGTTTAAGCCATGTCCTCCGTCCGTCCGATTCGTTTCGATTTTGGTTGAAATTGGTTCATTATTTCACCTGGTCCCCATACAATCGTACCCTCCGATTTGGGCTTTTTAACTAATAATTTTATTCAATGTGCTGGTACATGTCTCGACAAAAGGTTGTATACTATCCTTTATGAAACTGGCGAATCTTGTAATGATCGGACCTCATTTGACTCTAGCCCCCAACAGAAAATTAAACTAAAATTCACTTAAAAATATTAATGCAATTAAAGCCACTTTTACATTATACCACAATATGATCTATCGAAATGCGTAGAAGAGTACGGATGTGATCGTCTAAACGCAATATGTAATGAAACCATTACACATTGAAAGAAGTATGGCTCTCTTAATTTTTTGAAATGATTCAAAAAACAAGCAAGTCGCATTAGATTAGGGATGTATTTTTATGTTAACACATACAAAAAAACGAAACAGTTGTTTGTTATAGTTTTATAAAAATCGTGATCGTGTGATCGTGTAAAGCGCCCTTTAAAAAGACTAATGCCCCGAAGAAATTCAGCATAAATAGATTTTATGTAAACGTAAATCCATCTGCCAAATTTTATGAGTACCAACCCATATTTTCCCCCAGCCCCACATAAAGCTTCTTTCAGAAAAATAGTTTTTCACCAATCAATTGCTTAAAATTTAAGCCTTAAATATATCGGAGACAAGGAACAATTCAACATAAATGCTTTATTGTGAATAATGAATTACATGTTCATTCCCATAACTGGTCTAGGCTATCATAAGGTCAACCACGCCCGAATATAATTTCTTACTTATTTGTTAATATTTATTATCATAGTCTTAGAAAAGTTCGGGACTATTTCTTTGTGTATAAAAACTGTTTAAAATTTTAACTCGTTATATGCAGCCCTATTCTGCATTAGGATTACGTTTCTGCATATAGTTATACTATGATCGAAAATAGGGGTTCCAACAAAAAACGGAATCGTAAGAAAAAGAAGGAGCAATTCCATTTTATTTCAATGCTTTACGATTGTGTGTATTCTGCATTACGATCGTAGATACGTTTTTGTAAGTTGTTAAGCTGGAGGTCCACACTACGCGTTTTCGCGTCAAAGCATTGCGTGCTTTTCATACCTTCTTTGCATCAAGTTACATGCAACGCTTCTTAAGCGTAAATTTTTTAAAGAACTTTGCATATTTTTTAAGTGTTTATACCCTACACCACTTTAGTGGGGTTTGGGTTTGTGCTGATGTTTGTAACGCACAATAATATAGGACCTATATCCACCTTAAAGTATACCAATCGGCTTAGAGTCTATTTAGCTATGTCCGTCCGTTTGTCGATTTAGTTGATTTAGCTATGTCCGACGGTGCTTGGAATGTAGTGACGGAGCTTAGAATCGAAATGTAGAATACCAATACGATTCGAATTGAAATGCAGAAAAGGGATGATGAAGTTTTCTTATCGTAAGTCCCTAATTTATAGGAAAGAAAGGTAAATGGAATGAATAGAAAGGTGTGCAAACTTGCTCGTACTCCGAAACTTATTTGGTGTCAGACGCAGACCAGGATGGCGCTCAATATGTGTCAGACGCACCATGGATTTAATTTCAACCAAAAACATTCGGACTGACAAAACTAGATTGTAACTTCCAGTCGTCCTTAACATAGGGAACAGTCCCGGACCGACATCGAAAAGAAAAACGAGGGAGGAAAAACTAAATGTTTTAATTGTGCACAAATTTCTGGCCTATTTAATGAAGGCGCAGTCTAAAGGTAAATGAACATAAAATTTTGAATTCATAAATTTTTAATTTGTTTATCAAATAGTGTTCAAAATTAGATTTTTTTAATATTGTTTTGATTTTAGCATAAAATTAACAAAATTTTTATACCGGCTTTTAAAACAAACATTTATATAGTAGGTAGTAGGTTTGTAAATTCATTTAAAAATTGGATATTTCATTTTTGAGAGAGAGAGTTTGTTAAAATGACCTATTTTCAATAACAAATGTCATATCTGAAGTTTTGTATGTGATGTTGTAAATGTTGGGAGGACTGGGTTTGTTTGAAGGTTTTTCTGTTGGAATGGAATGTATGACTTGTTTGACATTCATTTCTTATTTATAGCGGTGTTTTTTGCGGTTTTCAAAACCTCAGAAAAAATTACATGCTACTTATACATAAGTTGACATTGTTTTCTTTAGGTTTTTTTTCTAATATTTGTTTACTTTTTGAATAAAGCTAATAATTTCCAAAAAATTAAAATAAACGATAGATAACAAAAATAAACATAAATTTAAAAAACGTGCATACTTTAAATGTTAATAGGTACATATTTAGATTTCTTAACAAGTTTTTAATAAAAAAACAAATTGGTAAACAATAACATATTAATATTGTGGAAAATATGTTTGCTTTAAACAAAGTAAACAAATTCCCAAATTTTTACATGTTTTTTTTATGATTTAAAGAAGAACGAGTTTTATTTTCTGCTGCAATTTTTATATCAATATTTATATTCTTGGATACGTCAATCAATGACTTTTAAACGACCTTTATAATTTACCACACTACTACTAAATGTGGAACTGAGATATTTGAAATCTGTATTTATTTCATTTTTTGTTTGGTTCTTTATTTTTTGTTTGGAA